TGCCGGGGAGGGGGGGACAGGCCAGCCTCCCACCTCGGCCATGGGGCGTCCCCAGAGGCAGAGGGTGGCTCTGAGCACCCACCCCCCGCCCCCGGGTCCCCATGGCCCCATCTCAAGAGCTGGGGGGAGGCAGGGAAGCCCAGGGCTCCTGGGGGGCAGAGGCATCGCTTTGCAGGGTGTCCCCCTCCCCAGGCCCCCACGCCATGGTGGGGGGCAGGAGAGCCTTGGCAGCCCAGCCCCTGGGGGCTGCGGAGGAGGAAGAGGAGGAGGAAGGCACGGGGTGCTGCTGGAAAACAGAGCTGGGCTCTTCAGGCCAGAGCTCGGAGGGGGTGGGCGTCCCCCCTCGCCTCTCGCCCTCCCACCACGCAGGCGGCAGCAAGGAGAGGGGGCTGCGGCCCCCGGTGCCGGCGGCAGCGGCATGCAGCCGCTGGTGAGCCGCCAGGGCCGTGCTGAGGCCGAAGGCTTTGCCGCATTCGGGACAGATGTGCCGCTTCTCCGGGCCGCCCTGCGTGTGGGCACGCTGGTGCCGGTTGCGGTGGGAGCTGCGGCCGAAGCATTTGCCGCAGTGAGCGCAGGAGAAGGGTTTCTCGCCGGTGTGGGTGAGCCGGTGCCGGTCATAGTGGGAGCTCCAGGCAAAGCCTTTGCCACAGATGCCGCACTGGTAGGGTTTCTCACCCCGGTGAAGCCGCCGGTGCCGCTCCAAGCTGGCCGGTGTGCTAAAACCCTTGCCACACTCGGGGCAGGTGTGGGGCCGGCCCGGCTGGGCGGCGTGGGTGCGGCGATGAGCCAGCAAGGTGGAGCTGACGGCGAAGCTCTTCCCGCACTCGCCGCAGCGGTAGGGCCGCTCGCCGGTGTGCACCCGGCGGTGCCGTTCCAGGTGGGAGCTGACAGCGAACGCCCGCCCGCACTCCCCGCAGCGGAAGGGCTTCTCCCCGGTGTGGATGCGGCGATGACGCTCCAGGTGCGAGACCCAGCCGAAACTCTTCCCGCACGCCCCGCATGGGTAAGGTTTGCCGCCTCCTCCGGCGCCGGCTTCCTCGGTGGCTGCCGGCACGGCTTTGGTGGCGGCGCCAGCTTGCTGCTGCCGGGCATGGGTGCGCCGGTGCTTGGCCAGGGCTGAGCCCCAACGGAAGCAGCGTTTGCAATCCGGGCAGGGGTACGGCCGCTCGCCAGTGTGGACACGCTGGTGTTTGAGGAGGTTGGAGCTCTGGCCAAAGCATTTGCCGCACTGCTCGCAGCGGTAGGGCCGCGGGGGGCTGGCAGCAGGTTCGGCACCGGCCGGCGGCGTCTGGGTGCCCTTGTGCTTGAAGCGCTGGGGGTCTGTCTGGTGGTTGAGGCGCTTGCCGCAGTCAGCGCATTTCTGAGGAGGTGGCGGGGGCTCTTCCTCCGCCTCCCCGTCCTCCTCATCCTCAGAGGCGGTGGCGGCAGCGTGGGTGCGCATGTGGCGGTCGAGGTGGGAGCTCCAGGCGAAGGCTCGCCCGCATTCGGCGCACTGGAAGGGCTTCTCGCCAGTGTGGATGCGCCGATGCCGCTCGAGGTGGGAGCTCCAGGCGAATGCTTTCCCGCACACCCCACACTCGTAGGGTTTCCCACCCAGGTGGCTCTTCTGGTGCCGGTCAAGGGCCCCCGGATCGGCGAAGCTGCGGCCGCACTGGGGGCAGCGGTTGGGTTTCTCCCCACCGGGTGCATGGGTACGCTGGTGGGTGAGCAAGGAGGAGCTGACGCTGAAGCGGCGCCCGCAGTCGGGGCAGGCGTAGGGCCGCTCGCCCGTATGGACCCGCTGGTGGATGGTGAGGTCCGAGCGTTGGATGAAGCACTTGCCACAGTCAGGGCATTCGTGCGGGCGGTCGCCAGTGTGGATCTTCTGGTGCTTCACCAGGGCTGACTTGTGGCTGAAGCTCTTCCCACACTCGCCGCACGTGTTGCTGGGTTGGCTCTCGCCCGGGCGCGTGGCCGTCTCCCCCGGTCCCCTGCTCCTGCCCACCTTCACCCCAGCCTCGGCGGGGCTCGAAGGATGCTCCTCGCCCGCAGGTTTCACCACTTCGGGCTCTTTCTCAGCAGCTTCTTCTCGAGGGGGTTCCTGCTCCGCTCCTGCTCCATCCTCTGTGGGGCACAAAGAGAGACAGACACAACCCAGGCAGGAGACATCGACTCTCCCGGGGCTGGGAAGGTGGTAGGAAAAGGAGAGCAAGGAGGGATCCCTCCTCCTTTTTTATTTCACAGATTCTTCCAGGTAAGCACCTCTAGCAGAGGCATCTCCGATCCCCATCGCTCCTCTCTGCCACCAACGTGGACATGGTAATTAATCCACCACCATCTCCACTGCACCTCCGTGGACCACTCCAGAAATACGGCTGAGTAGGAAGGGGGTCCGGCATTTCCGGCATTTCCATTTTGGCCAGGACAATGCCTCTGGCATTACAGTCTCTCCTCCCCAGCACCTCTCTTCCATGCCGTGGCCAAACCAGGGCTTGCAGCCTGGGGTACGGCGGCGGCCGCTTCGGGGGGGGGGTTGGCCTCTTTGTTTGCCCATTTTGGGGAGAGGTCGGCAGGGGGGAAGCCCTCCACACTTGCAGGAGTCGAACCGAGGCTTTTTCCCCGCTGTGGTTGAGGCACGATCGGAGGCTCACCTGCGGCCGGGGTGTCCCTGGGCACATGGAGATCCAGGGCTGTAGGTTCATCCCCGTGGTCCAGGCGGGACAGCAGATCGGGCTTGGAAACGGGGAATTCTGGAAAAGAGAGGGGGGATGAGCAACATGGGTCAGGAGGGTCTGGCCTCCCCAGCAGCCCCCCCGACCCCAGCACCCCTGGCATGAAGACTCCGTCCACCCCAATTTTTCTGCTGCGGGAGGGGGTAGGCTCCTCACCCAGCGCCATCAGCGTCTCGTAGCTCTCCTGCATCACGTCACGATACAGCGCTCTCTGTCGCGGGTCCAGCAGCACGTACGGCTCCATGGCTGGTGCCACCGGACCCCCTGAGAGAAGGAGGTAACCCCCCGTAAGCAGAGCCCAGCATGCAACCCATCGCCAGCCGTCATCCTACGGATTTGCATCCATCGGTTGGACTCTTCATGCAAAACCCTCTATTTCATTAACCTGTGGATTCTCTAATAATCTAATAGATTATTATTCTCTAATAAGCTAATAGAAAGGCCAAGCTGAATCACAAAACGGGGGTAAGGCGTGGGGACAGGCGGCTAACAAAAACCTCCATCCTTTACCCCGCCGCCTATTTTCCCAAATCCTGCAGGAACTTTATACCCTCTGCTTCTATCATATCTGGCTGAACAATTTTTATTTTTTTTCCCCAAAGTTAATGGGGAGGAGGAAGCAGAAGGGGAAAACAGAAATGCAAACAGCACGATTCCTTAAAAAAAAGTGAAAAAAAGAGAGAAAACCCAGCCTGTGAAGAACATGTTTCTGTAACCTGCAGACAACACTCTGCTGAAAGATCCTTACCGTAAAATTAATTTTCACCCAGATTTTATCTAACAGCTAATTCCTACCGCACCAAACCCTGGGTGCTCGTCCACAGGATCCTTCACCTTCCCAGAGGCTCCTGTCCCAAATTTTCCAGAACCTCCCCCCAAAAAAACCCCCACAGCAATCGCTCCTCCTTCTCGAAGAGGTTAAATCACACAGTTATTTCTCTACGTAAATGTCCAGTACTCGGAGCCTGTGCTCGGGGGAAAACATGAGTTTTCCCAGCTGTAGGAAGAGGGTTTGGGGCTCTCCTTTGCAAAAATCATTTAAAAGCAAATTACCACCACTCCCCTGACCCTTTCCTCATCCTCCTCTGTGAGCAGCGGGCGTATTAGGATCCCAATGCGTGGGTTGATTTATTATTTTTTTTTTTTCCGGCAGCAAGAGCTGTTACAGCTGCGGAGGACGGAGGAGGTAGGTTGGGAAAAGGTGGATTTGCAGAAGGTTGTCGCCGACTTACTGATGCCAGGAATAAAAGGGCGATTTCAAGCACGGACCGCAGATCCCTCCTGCAATTTTTGCCCCCTTTCTTTTTTTTGAAGCCCCCACCAGCATCTCAGCCTGCTTCATTTATTCCCCGGTAGTTTGCCATCCTGCTAGAAAAAAAAAAATAAAAATAAAGGGGTCAATACCACACGCCC